ACGGTGAGGAAATTTTCCCACCGGTTAATCGACGAGTGACAACAGGTAATACCAGTATCACCGTTGGGGTGGGGTGTTAGTTCGTTTGAGTTTCCCTCTTTTCCCTCGCTTTCAAATGGCTTGTAAAAGTGCCGTGCAAATTTTACTTTCACTTTCACTCTTCTTTTCTGACTGCTCATATGAGGCCGTGCTGCAGGTGAGTCTGTCCCTTCTATATGTATCAGAAATTACAATTATTTGTAGAAATTACTGTCCCTTCTGCCTCTCCGTCTGAACGCTGCATGAATCACCATTACACTGATACCTGCGTTAATTATGTTCATTAGACATGCACTTTTATGTCAGTAGCTCATTTTATATGTAACCAAAGCAAAGGATTGTAATTTGATTGTAAAAACCTGGAAGAAAATGCTTTAAAAACACATTGAAGTTTGTTAATCACTGTTGTACTTAAAGGAGAAAATACTCCAAACAGAAGCGAACCAAAGCGCACTGCGAATGTGTATATGTTTAATGCTCTGCTGGGATTGGTGGATCCAACACATGAGCCACAGTTAATGAATTCATTCATCGACCACACACACACACACACTCACACATGCTAGAGCTTTCCTGAAGGGGAGGAGCCAGCAATAGATACTAAGGCTAATGCCCGGCTCAGTCTGCATATACATGGATGTACATAAACACACACAGTGCGTAGAGGCTCAGTGATGGTAGACGACCCTGACGGGACAGTCACAATAATGATTGGGAGTTAGATGCAGCGTCACTGCTGACTCACACACACACACACACACACACACTGCTCTGTCCGGCATGAAGATCTTCAGCAGGTTTCACTATGTGTGGTATCTGGTGAGTGAGTCGTTTTTAATAGTTCATGTTAATATTCTTTGTCTCTTTTGACTTTGAGCGATGATGAATGTGAATGTGCCATCTTTTATGTATCTACTGATCAAATTCTATGGCTGTGTTTGAATGAATATCAGTTTAATGGTCAATAACTAATACGGATGTCCGATATCATAAAGAGATAATAACATTATTTTGAAGAATAATTTCAATTTAATAACTCGAAGAATGTCAGCTTTGTTACCATCAAGTAAAATACAGTAATATATATATATATATATATATGTATGAATTCGTGTTCCATTGTCACTTAATGTGGACACATTTTCAGTCAAATAAATAATTGTATTATTTTATTATGCTTACTTCAAAATCTATTTAAGAATTATTTAAGAATTTCAGCCTTTTAATTAAACCTTTTTTTTCTTGTTATTATCATGACAGTTTTGACTTGCAAAAAAAATAATCATGCTTATCTTAGAATTTTTAAAATTCTATTTAAGAATTATTAAGAATTCCAGCCTTTTAATGTTTTACTTTGTTACAATAATGACAGTTATAGACTTCATTTGTTTTATTGCAAAAATGGAAAGTATGTTCATTCAAAAAATCATCATGATCTTCGGATCACTGACCCTTAAACTTATTCCACTTCATTTAAGTATTTATAGTATTCAGTATTAATAGTTGGAAGAGCTGCAGGTATGGTAAGTTGCTCTGTGCTTTGATAACAGCTGTAGCCCCATTCTTTGGTCCCGGCACCCTAAATATATTAAGCGGCCCGGCTCATGTATCAGATCATGGCTGCTTGATCAAGTTACAGAGAAATGGAAACCAAATCTGCTTTTTTAATAACAGTCGGTGCTGTTGTGCTCATTTTGCTCGCCCTGCTGTAAACATACAAGCCAAGGGTCATACTGAAGGTCGTGGTCTGTAGTCCACTTAGAGGTGAATTTTTTTAGATGGATCCAAAAAAGTGAAAAAGGAACCCAGTTCTGATAGCGTTTACACTGATACTGGACTTAAAAGTGGATTCAGATCTCATTTTAGCCCACTTCCGGTCTCAGTCCACTTTCCATTCACACTGCAGATTTTTTGTAACTCTGAGCGTAAATATTATAATTTCTAATATTAATTCATAGTATTATTCTTTTGCTGTTATTAAATTTTTTTATATTTATTTATTTTTTATTTCATTATTGATTTATTTTATTTTTATTTATTTATTTTAACAAAAATAATGCAATATAAATAGTGCAATAGTTACATATTTCTGCAACATTAATAAGGCTGTCCACATAAACCCTCAGGTTATTATTTTGATAACTGAAATGTGACCTTTGGAGTTTCTCTGTGTGTTTTACAGAAACATTTCTTGATAACACTTTACAATATGGTCCAATGTATTACCTAATTTGCATAATTCATGCATTAGGTATCAACAGCAAGCAGAAGATCTGTACAGCATTTATTAATCTAAATCAATGTTACTTTATAAATATGCTATTTTTATTCACATTTGTTCATAAAAAAGCACATTTTTTGAAATTTGACATTTTAAAATGTATGATTTATATGTACAAAAAATCCTAGATTAATAAATCTTGTAAAAAAATATTGTTGTATTAAGTATGTATTATCAAGTACTGTAAACTATTAGTATTGTTGTATTATATTATTAGTATTTTTTTCTTCTCATTGTGTGTCGTTACTTTTCTCTGGTAGCCTGTAAAAAGGAAACATTTGAATTGTTTGAATTGTTATAATTAAAATACAGTGAGCGTTACACTCTCAAGCATGCTTAAAGAGGGGCTGAATTATTTCAGATCATTCACTAATAAGGCACAATTCATGCTAACCGTTCTCAAACTCCTGAAATGAACCAAAACTGCCCCAGTTTAAGTTTTCTGTAGGTGGCTTTGAAGAAAGAGTTTGCTAAATGGTTAATTGGTCGACTGTGTGTCTTCTGGTTTGTGGGTTCTGTTCTCCGCTGTGCACCGGAGATGTGATGTAAGATCTGTTAGTAATGCGGTCTAGTGCAGATCAGACTGGATTCCCGCAGCAGCATGCAGGTCAGGCTGTAAACGAACCTCCTCTACTAGTATGTCACTCTTAACTGTCTTCAGCTGCTTGAGTCTTCACAGGCAAAAACACAGGATCCAGTGACGCTCTAGTGTTAAAACAAGCAAAATGCTCAGCTGGTCTCACATGACATCTACAGGAAGCAGGATCTTTGATTGTTCTTGTGGTGAACACCAACCAGTGGCCAGAGCGGCGTATCATGATTTCTTACAGTACTGTGATGTTATGCCCAGATAAATTCACCATATGTAGAGCTAATTATTGGTGGTTTTGATCTTAGTTGTAAGTTTTGGTCTGTTGGTATTAGTTTATAGTCTAAAGGTGTCACACTTACAGTTTCTCAGCAACATTTTGTCCACAAAACCGTCTTTTCAAACAGAATCCGAGCAGTGAAAATTTTCTTGGGGGAGTGCTGACGTTTTGTGAGGAAACACAGTTTATTTTTTTAGTACAGTAGAACTTTAGTTTTTTTTACACAAAATTTTACTAACGTGATTAATGTTTCAAGAAATATTTCACTAGAAAATCCTGTAATTTTCCTCATGTTGGTCCAAACCAGTTTAACTTATTTTCTTCTGAGGAGCACAAAAGAAGAGCCTTTGGAGAATGTTCATGCTGCTCCGTTCCATAACACAATGTAACAAAAATGTGTTTCCCTTAAATTATGCCTTTTCGAATATTACCTCTCATGCAGTGTCTCATGTAGCTGTATGTGAACATAAACTATCTGCAAAGTTGTGAAGCCGACAGTGCGCGATAAATAGTTATTGTCTATCGCCCATGTCCTACATCGCCACCTTGCCCACAAACAGTAAAATTTCAGTGTGGTTAACATAATGTCGAGAAGATGCTGTATCCTACGCCGTGAGAGTAAATTTGTTTTATCACATCTTATAATTACCACAAACTTGTCAACACTTGACACTTACCACTGAGAAACATCCTGCTCCAGATTATCAGGCTCTTGTCGATCAGCCAGTTCAACCATTTCATCATCAGACTCCGGCTCGAATTGGTAAGGTACAATCGATACCATCTTCTCTATGTATTGAGAAGTCTCCAGGGCTGTCATTCCGTCATGGCAATGTTTTGTTTCCGACATGCGCTGTACGCGGTAGACCAATCCAGAGCCACTCTCTCTACGGCTCTGGACCAATCACAAAGGACTGCGCCATCTGACCAATCACAGCAGTGAGGGCTCACGGAAAGGAGGGGTTACGAGAGACTGATTCTTTGAACTGCTTCGCACGAGTCGTTTACGAATAATTTAGAAATGAGGTAAAATTAAATCTATTTTTTGAGAAAACTAACACGTTTTTTGACCTTTCATGCATGTAAACCTGTTTTAGGAGACTCATAAAACAATATAGCAACATTAAAAATGGCATAATAGGGGCACTTTAAATGTTTTATGGTTCTTCTGTAATTCTTTGGTGCTAATTATTATTGATCTATTTATTTTCACTTGGCATCAATATTTAGGAAAATATTTAGGTCAGGAAAATTTTAGAACTTCTATCATTAATTGTGAAACATTGGATTAGTACAGATAAGTTTTTGTACTCATTTTGCTTGTTTTTTTGTTTTGTTTTTTGCTTTTGTTTCTGTGACATTCTGTAATATTCTGTTTACAGAATATCATTGTGGGACTAGTCACAAAAGGCAAATCATCCAACGTACACTTCTGAAGTTTTGGAAGACTCACTTTTGTTAACTGCTTATGTTAAACTGTTGTTGTTAGCTCAGTATTATGCATGTACCATGTCATTTTATGCATGAGTAATAACGGACGGAGTTGTCAATATATATATATATATATATTAGCATTGTTAATGATACACAAAAAGTCATGTGATTTTCGTATGCAGCATGTCAAACTTCATAAAGAAACATTAAAAATAAAAGCGAAACAAAACTTTTATAAAACAAATAGTTTCACTGTGAAATAAAAGTGAATAGATAATTGGGGTTTTGAGCTTCAAAATAACAAAGAAAACATAAAAGTAGGCCACTATATTCTGAAAATCTCCCCTTTTGCTGGCGCGCTCAGATAAAATAGTACTTTATTAGACGGGCTGTGTCGGATTTAACATTTGGTCATGTGACGCTCAAGAACCAATCATGTTTGGCATCGATATACTGTCTTTGATTTGCCATTTCTGCTGTTTGTATGACTTTTGTACTAGTTTCAGAAATGTAAAAAAAATAAAATAATCCATTCCATTTTTCTTGAAAGAATTAAAGTCATTATGAGTTTGGAACAACATGAGGGTGAGAAATTGATGAACGGATGAACAATGCCTTTACATTAACCTTGAATGCAGTTTAAGTCACTTTGGATAAAAGGGTCTGCCAAATGCTGTAATGTAAATATAAAGATCTGGGATGGTAACCAGGAAGTTGTAGGTTTGAATCCCGTATAGTAATTAAAATGTTATAGCTGTTCACTTAAGGTTTCTTCAAGATCTGACAGTTGCTAAGTCCAAGAGTCTTGATGATCATAGTAATATTAATAACCTGACCAGATAAGGGGGAAAAATTGGTTGTAATGTTTCTGCAGCCAATCAGTTTATTTTATAAAATAATTGGGTGTGCATCATGTGGGATCAGCCTAAATGTGTGTGGAGTGTTTATACAGCATGTGTATTAAATATAGATATTGACTAATAATTACTGTATTAACACCTAAGAAGCTCAGTTCAACAAGTTTGATTTCCTACCTTTTTTTGTGCTCAGGACTTCTCAAATGACGACACCAAGCTGGAGTACAATGTGGACGCAGAGAATGGGATCGTCATGGAGGGATATCTGTTCAAGAGGGCCAGCAATGCCTTCAAAACCTGGAACAGGTCTGAGACGAGACAGAAAATCATACTGTGTCCACTTACAGCAGTAACTAATGGCCTATTTACTGGACAGCTCCAGGTAATCACGTATACATTGTTTTCTTTGCAGGCGATGGTTCTCGATTCAGAACAATCAGCTAGTGTACCAAAAGAAATTTAAGGTAAACATAGGATAATATAAAGAACACACAATAAATTCTAGCTTCAGCTGTGCGTTCAGCACTCATTGTGGCGTGTTATTTCAGGATAACCGTACGGTCGTGGTGGAAGACTTACGCTTGTGCACCGTCAAACACTGCGAGGACATCGAGCGCAGATTCTGCTTCGAAGTGGTTTCTCCAACAAAGTGAGTATAAGCACACAATTCTGATTCTCATAGCAGTTATGCTGCATGTTTGCAGGGAACACAAGCCACATTTACTCTTTGAACAGCTGAATTACTTAATCAAATAATTAAAGCGTGTTAGTTTTCTGTTTATTTAAATGGTAAGTGTCATTTCTGTGCCACTAGTATCAAATTAACAACTGTTTGGAACAAATTTGCAGTTGTTAATTTAATGATATATATTTATTTATTTATTTATTGCTACATTGCTGAGATGGTGGAAATTATTGGTAATAAAACACCAGTGTATGTGTAACTACTGAAAATAGTTTTCACTAATTGAAATCAAGCTGAAATAAAATAGTTAATAAATGGTAAACAAATAAAATAAAATCTATAAAATAAAATATAAATGTTAGATTGAAAAAAAAAATGAAAATGAGAAACGTTGCCCTAGAAACTAATTGAAATTTGAGTTAAGTACTAAAATGACTAAAACCAAAATGTATTTGTTTAAAAAAAAAAATAATAATAATAATAATAAAATGACGAAAGCATGTAACACGGCTACTAAAATGAAAACTGAAAATAAGAAAAGTGATTTCAGAATATAAATAAATACTACAATAGTATAAAAATAATACTAAAAAAATACTGTTTGTAAAAAGTTACTTTTAAAAGTAGTCCAGTATATTAATATGAAAAGAGCTGAATGAAACTGTTTTCTTAATCAGTATTTTGTCTTGTTTCACAGTATAAATACCTGAATATCCATTATCCTGAATAAACATTAAAAAAATCACATTTCAAAATTTCAGATTTTTATAAAATATGTTTTGAAATAAGATTATTTTTCAAACCCCTGTTGCAAACTGCTATTGTTTTTAAGCATAGCATTAATAAAATGTCAAAGCGTATGCCTAAAAATGTAAATAAAAATAACATTAAAATTTAAAATTTTCATAGTATATATTTTAAAGTTATTTTTCTCACACCTTTTGCAAACTGTAATTGTTTTTTGACATTAATCAAATGTCATAGTTTATGCCAAAAACATT